TGGAGATTACTGATGATAGCAGTAATAAGCATACTTAATGTACTTAATGTTCAAATGTACAGCATGGACTACACCTGTGGTCCCAGCTACTTAGAAGGTCTGGGCAGAAGGATTCCAAGTTCAAGGCCTCTATGGACTATATACATAGGGAGTTTTCCATCAGCCTGGCAACTTAGCAAGATCCTGATTCAGAGAAGAAAAAGTGTAAAAGCTGGAGATACACAGCTCACTGGTTGAGCACTCCCAGAAACCTCAGGATCAATCTCCAGCATTATACAAAAGACAACAGTTAAATGGACTTTATGTTGCAAGCATTAAGGGTTAAAATTACTGGAAAAGAAAAAGAGAGGAGAGGTGAGAGTCTCTGGGTGGAGTAAGCATGTCTGGCTGGAAGAGGCATGTGTGGAGAGGTCAGCTGCAAGGAGGCGTCAGTGGCGATCACAAGTGGCAGCATGCGGAACTGCAGCACACAGGAAATGCTGAGCCCTGGAGGTTCCTACACCAGACTGAGACCTTGTTTTTGAGCTGCAAATGACAGTATTGAACAATATGACTCTTCTTTCCTTTTTGGCTTGTGGGAAAGAGGGGAAGTGGAGGCTTTTATTACTCAACAGCTGATGACAACTGCTGGAAAGGCAGAACAGCCTTGCTTATTTGGAAACTGTCAGAAGTCTACAGCGAGATTAGAGCACTAACTAAACACAGCTGATGGCTAGTTTGAGCCTTCTATTTAAATGAGTCTAAAGGTTAGGTAGCTTTTTATTCTGAGTCGATTAAAACTTAAGTTTGAGGACAGATGCCGATTTTTACTTAAGGTTTTTAATTTCTCTAAAATTAGAGTTGGGGCCCTATTTATAATCTGTTGGAAGAAATAAGCTATAAAATAAATAGTTATAAAATATTAAGATAAGGGATGTGAACATTTAATTAAGCATGTCTGATATATATGGACGGCTAACTCGCTTAGTTCTGGGAGGCTGGCTGTTTTCCTGGTTTTAAACTGATTTATTTTTGATTCTCCGTGTTGTGTATGAATGGGAGGGGGGAGTGCACGTGTGTACTGCGTGTGTGCAGGTGCCTGCAAAGGCCAGAAGAGGGCTTCAATATCCTGGACCTGGAACTACAAGTCAAGCGTGAGCCACCTGCTGTGGCTGCTGTGAACTCACAGGATCTCGGTAAGAGCGAGCACTCTCAGGCGCTCATCATCACTCCAGATGGGGGCTGGCAGCTTTAATGAGCCCTTTTTTCCCCCTTGAAAACCAAGAGAATATACCCATGGGCATAATTTATTGAAAACAGAGCCTAAATGCAATCAGATAAAACAAACTTGGGAGCTTGGCTTATACATAACCAAAGCACAGGACCCAAATTTAGATGATTTATTTTTCGAAGAAGAAATAAATGTTTTTTTTTCAAACAAGACAATAAATATTTGCCATTTTAATCCACAAGGACAAAAATATAAAAGAAGCATAAACCCGGAATTTGGTTTTCCTAACCATTTTATAGAGATAGTGATATTGCTGACCAAGATGAATTTACATTATACCTAGGAAAAATCCAGCATGCTGCATGGCCTACAATGGATGCTAAATAAACTTCAGGAACTATTATTAAGATCATTCTATTACTTAGCAACATAAAACCACATTTACTGGCTTTTTTTTTCTTTCTCAAAACATGGTCTTTTACTATACAGCAGTGGCTATCCTGGAACTCAATGCATGGACCAAGCTGACCTTGAACTAACAGAGACTGACCTACTTCTGCCGTCCCAGTGCTGGGGTTAAAGGTGTGTGGCACCAAGTGCGTTATTCCCTGGGTTCTTAGAGGTGGCAACAAAGCACACAAACTGATTACACTTGGCCCTTTCGCTGGTGGAGACTGGCACTCTTAACTCCCTGATCCTAAAATGTCCTCTTTTTCTTTTCTTTTAAAAATTTCATTCACTCATTCATTCATTCATTCATTCATTCATTCATTCATTCATTCATTTCATTCATTCATTCACGAAGGGTTTCTTTACATATCCCTGGCTGTCCTGAAACTCACTCTGTAGGCCAGGCTGGCTTTAAACTCACACAGCTCTTCCTGCCTCTACTTCTAAGTGCAGGGATTAAAGGCCTTCAGGCTTGGTCCAGAACTTTTAATTTTTTGATGGATGTTTTGTTTTCCAAATTCAGACTATAATACATCTTAAAACTTACTACTTTATTGTAAGATCTAAGTGCCCCTTAGTTACCACAACCACAAAATGCATTTAATTATCTAGTATTTACAAATTGAAAATAAGTCAATTTTAATATATTCTATTTACTTATCAAATAATATTACAACATGTAACAAATCTAACGAATGCTACTGAGATGTTTTATACTCCTTTCTGAGACTCTGAAACAAACAGTTTATACTAACAGTGCATCTTAACTTGGACCTGCCTGTTCGAGCGAGGCCCCTGGTGAGGCAGTGCTGACCGACACCTTGTAGTATCAGTACCAGAAGTGCTGGAAACAGATCAGAATCAATCATTTACACAAAAGAGCATGGCGCTTGGTACTATAAGCAATGATGCTTCCAACTTAATGCTTTCTAGTGGTAACTGAATAAAACTAAATTGGAAGCATAACTTTAAAAATTCAAGTAAGATTCTAAGGCTCTCTTTAAAAATCCTTTTATGTGTGTGTCTGTGATAGGGTCTCACTATGAAGTCCAAACTGGCCCTGACCTTGTGATCAGCCTGGAACTAATGTGCTGGAATTACAGGCATAGGCCACTCTATACCACTTGCAAAAACTTTTAAAAGTATTTGCGAACTTAATCGACATGAGTTATTCATTGCTGCACAACGACTCGAATGTGTGGTCAACAGCATCTCTGTGTCTGTGAGCGGCAACTCATGAGGCTCAGAGTCACCTCGGCGGTAGAGGCTTGTTCGGTGCGCCTACAGCCTGATCTGACCGCCACAAAAATACAAACAACAAAGCTCCTGTGGCTAGACAGGACTCAGGTGGTTCTTGAGAGGTGAAAGCAGAGGCTGGCAGAGTTTGAGGCTAAAAGATCCATTTCTAGGGTGTCAAAAGTTGTTATTTATTGTTTTAAATTAGTTCTTCAATATAAACCACACAGAAGCCTGCATATAAGGAACCGAATGGCATGGGCATGATAATGCCTAGACCATCAGCCCCATGGAAAATTGGCAAATCCTCCCTGCCCCTCCTCAACCCACCCCGCCCTCATGAGGCTCTGAAGGATGGCAAAGCCTGCCTCTAGTCCCTGATACTGACCACCTGCAGACTGTTCCTATCTTACTTCTTGTTCAGCTGTATAAAATAGGCTGCCTCCTTGTGCAGTTAAACGTAATACTCTGATCTGTTCACCTGTGCATGATAAGCACAATGAACTTCCCGGGTGCTTCGGCTTCTCCATCCAGGAGCCCGGCCCACCCAATACTGGCTTTGTAGTCTCTGGAGGTCCCTCTGCCTGCGTCTTTCCTTCATTCCTTCACTGCCCCTGGGTCAATCCCTGGGGCTGTGCAAAGACACGGTACTATCTGTGGCCCTGGCTGTCTTCAGTCCATTGTAAACAGCATCCACTGAGACCCTCTCCTGTAAGTCTCTGCTGTAAGGGTGAGCTGAGTCCTGGGGTAACTGATCACCTGTACTGACCTGCCATGTTCTTGCACTGACAGTCGCGTTTGCATTTCTATTTTACAAGGAAACAGAAACACCAACAGTTAAGAAAACATGAGATGGCTAGTGAGATGGCTCAGTGGGTAAAGGCACCTGCGGCCTAGTGTGACAACACGACTTTGATCTCCAGGACAAACATGGTGGAAGAAGAGAAAAGACTCCTCCCACAAGTTATCCTCTGACCTCCATGTGCACACACCACCCCACACACTAAATAAGTGTGAAAAAAAGTAAACTTGACAAAACAACATCACATGATCTAGGAATCTGGTTAAAAGTTTACCACTGAGGTCTTGTACTGCACAGCCTCGTCTACAGCAAGAAACAGGAGCTGGAAAGGAGGTCAGTGGGAAAGGTGCTTGCTGCCAAGCCCAACAACCGGAGCCCTAGCCTGCCAGTTGTCCTCTGAACCTCCACTATATTCTGTGACATGCACATACACCTCATGCTCTCATTGAACAAATAATTTAAAATCATTAAATCAAGTAAAGCTGCTCTTCCTCTTCAGGGATGCTGCAAGAATTCAACATAAGAATTTCTATACAGTGGATGCACCACAACAGCCAGTAACCATTAAAATTACCCATCTTGTTTTCTGGCCCAAAACCACGGTAATGAAAAGGCCTGGCAGGATGTGGCTTTTGCTAAAAGAACAGACAAAAAGGAAGTAGAATCTAGCAGAAGTCACAATATTACCTCTCTTGTCTCAGCATAAATTCCCATGACCACACATCCAAGAGACTGAAGTAGTCTCAGTTTTTTGTTTGTTTGTTTGTTTGTTTTAGAAATGTGCTGTTTTATTACAAAGAGTCTCACAAAATGAAAATATCTCAAAAAGGAAGCTAGGCTAACAACCTCCACCTGCAGAATTGGGGGAAGACAGGGCAATGGTAAGTTTTTCTGCTTGCCTGAGACGAGTGGGAAGGTATAACCAGAACCAATCTAAAAATGGCTGATATTACCTAAGCCTGAATAAAAGGTCCCAGAAGACCCAGTCACCCCCTCTAGAAAGCTTAATAAGGGCATCTTAACAGCTCCTAAGCAGGCACTTGGCAGTTCAGGATTATGTCTTCTGGTTGTTTTCTATCCCCCACCCCTCAGACCCTACATGGTTCACTACTAAAACCTGGGGCAGAGGGACAAGGTAAGAGTTCTCTCAGCACCACTGCCCTGGGCTCTGGTCCCTGGTTCCTATCTAGTCCCTGGGGACATTATATTTAATATATTTTATATAAATACACAGAAGAATAGAAAATATAAAATCTGGGGAAAGTGAGGAATCTGGGGAGAAGTCAGAGCTGTAGATCTTGCTCAGGCCAACTTGACCTCTTCTTTGACCCCTTTGACTTCTGGCTTCTCCTCCTTGATTTTCTCCTCTTCTGTGACTTCTTTTTTTTTTCTTCTGGATCTTTCTCTTTTTCATCTTCTGTTTTCACTCTTTTGGCTTTTTTGAAGTTAGATGAGTTCTTGCGACCACCTTCTCCCTCCTCATCTGAATCAGAGAATTCTTCCTCACAGGCAATTCGTTTGTCAGAGGAGCAGATGGAGATGTGTTTGTCAGGGTCTTCTGCATCTTCATCGCCACTCTCCTCTGGGATGGCATCTTCAGGTATGGCCTGCATCTGGACCCCAGGTGCATGGGGCAGCATTCTCAAGTTCTCAAAAAGTCGCTGCTTGATCTTTTCCAGGTACTCATTAGTGTTCTGGTTAGTCATATTGGAAGGGCTGATGTGAAGCTTGAAATCCGGTCCAAAGTATTCAAAGTAGTCATTGTATGGTAGCTCATTAGGGATCTCTGTGTCCAGGGCCACAGCTGTTTCGTAAGTCCAGCACCGAGCCACATTACGGATGGTATAGCCACCTCCTCCCAGCATTAGCATAGGCAAGTTGAAACTCTTGACAAACTCCACACACTTGGCATGCTCTCTGATGGTGAGATTGAAGCAGCCTAACCTATCCCCAGACAGGGAGTCTGAGCCACACTGTAAGACCACTGCACTAGGCTGGAACATCTCCATCACTTAGGACATGACTGGCTTGAAGATGGCTTCATAGGACTCATCATCGATCCCATCTCGCAGCGGGTAGTTAACAGCATAGTACTTTCCTTTGCCAGCCCCAATATCCTGTAGGTCTCCAGTTCCTGGGAAGTACTCTCCGTATTTATGAAAAGACACAGTCATGACCCGGTCTGTGGTATAGAAGGCCTCTTCCACACCATCGCCATGGTGAATATCAATGTCAATATACGGCACCCTCTGGTGATACTTTAGCAGTTCCAGGATGGCCAAGACGATGTCACTGACGTAACAGAAGCCAGATGCTTCAGACTTCTTCGCATGATGCAGGGCTCCAGCCCAGTTCACAGCGATGTCGTCTGCTGCTTATTAAGTTTCACAGCACTTGCTACAGAGCCACCAGTAGACAACTGACAGAACTCAAACAGGCCATCAAATACTGGACAGTCCTCACCAACGTTGAATCTCTGCATTTGCTCGCTGTACTCAGACATGTTATCTGGGCGAATGGAACGCAAGAATTTAATGTAGTCATCACTGTGGTATTTTGTCATCTCCTCAGCATTGGCTTTATGAGGACGATAAATTTCCATTTTTCGGTAGAGACCATAGTTCAGCAGCAAATTGTGAGTCATGCGGATTCGGTGAGGCTTCACTGGGTGGCCTTGTCCATAATAGTAGTTTCCAACATCCCCGTCGTAGTAGTAACAGACTTTCCTCTTGGTGTCCTGAGTCTGCGCCATCTTGCTAGCTGCCAGGCCCTCCCGTCAATCTCGTAGTCTCAGTTTTTTATACCTTCTCTTCTAGAGGAGTTTCTCTTAGGGGGCTGGAAAGGTGACTCAGTGGTTAGGAGCACAAGCTGGCCCTGGTGATGACTTGAGTTCCGTTCCCAGCACTCACTGCCTCTAACTCCAGCCCCACTGGGATCCTGCACCTTTGGCCACCATGGGCACCTGATTCACATGCACATAGCCACATACATAATTAAAAATAAAATAAATCTAAAACAGAACAAAACCCCCTGAACTTCTTACTCAGAATCCATCATACTTGGGATCCATCAACAGCTTTTAAGAATTGGCTGGACACAGCAGTGCACACATTCTGCCTCAGCACTCAGGAGGCAGAGGCAGGTGAGTATCTGTGAGTTTAAAGCCAAGCCGGTCAACAAAGTGACTTCTAAGACCCATTAGGGCTACACAGTGAGACCCTGTCTTGAAAAAATAAAAAAAATTAACAGATAAAGTTTCTAGAAGTGAAAAAAGGTCAACTATCAACCCAAAGATTTTGAGAACAGCTTAATAAGAGACATTTAACTTAGGCCATAACCCATGAATACATGCCTAGTGTGTTACACGTATGTCCAGGCAAATGAAGACAGTGAAATCAGAGACAAGAAACAGGAGGAGAGGTAGCAGGCTGAGGCGAGAGGCAGTGCGCCCACCTGCACCGTGTGTTAGGGAAAGATGCGGCAGAGCTGAATGTAAGCGTGCTCACAGGCTGCTCCGTTAGAACGCATAGTCTGTAGCTGGTATTGGTATTTGTGAGGCTGTGGGAAGGGTGATGTGGCTGGAGTAGGGCCCCTAGGAGTGGGGCCTCTGCTTTCTGGTCTGGCTGCTGTATGAGAAGCTCCGCAGTCTATTCCTGCTTTGGTGTCTGCAGCCATTCCCACCATCCAGCTTGCCTTGCTATGATGGGCTGAACCCTCCCAGACTGTGAGCCAATAGAACTCTTCCTCCCTTCAGTTACTTCTGCCACATACTTCCTCACAGTGAGGAGAAAGGTTAGTAACAAAACAGTAAAACAGCACCCTGCTGAGTGCTGCAGGTAAAAAGAGCAAACAGTATATTAAGAAACAATATACTGTGGGAGGCGTCTGAGAAGAAGGGCCAGGATGACAGGGAAAACGCTATAGGGTTTTTGTTGTTTTGGAGAAAGGGTTTCTCTATGTAGCCCTGGCTGTCCTGGAACTCTCTCTGTAGACCAGGCTGGCTTTAAATTCAGAGATCCACCAACCCCTGCTCCTGAGTGCTCAGGTAAAAGCACCTCTGTGCTCTGCAGAGGAGAGCACAGTTTCCGTGAAGGAAACCCTTTATGTGGCAATCAAAGAAGAAAATGGGACCACCTAAGATCTAAGGCCAGGGAGTTCCTGGGGATCTGAGGAGTATATCCTACTTCAACTGAAGTCTTGGGAATCAAACATTTTCATCTCTAAAGCAATGACAGGGCCAGTGGGATGGCACAATGGGTAAGGCACTTGCCACAAGCCTGACAACCTAAGTTTGATTCTCAGAGCCCACCTGACAGGAGGAGAGAACTGACTCTGGGAAGCTGTGCTCTGGCTTTACATGTGCACCACAGCACATTCATGCACATACAAATACATAAATAAAATTAACAGATGGCAAAAAACTAATAATAAAGGTGGAATCCTCCATCAGAGAGTAATTTAGTAAAGTCACATATCATATACACATTCATTCTAACATGTAAAGACCTAAAGACAAAATCTCAAGAGTAAAAACTTTTGTACAGAAAAAAAAATTGTCTTCACAATAATGAAAGGCTAGGTATATAATAAAGTATCTTAAAGACTTGGGGATCTAATGCAAGCTTAAAAAATTAAACTTTAATAGGTACAGCTTTAGTATAGGTAAATGAGTCTTACTGTGACATGCAAGGTGACATATGAAAGTATACCTATGTTACGACAGATGTCATTTCCTACACAGATGTATCACACATTGATAAGACGTGACTACAACCTCAAACAAGGTTTGGAACTCTTTAGCTTTCATAGGACAGCCACAAAATGTTAGGTGTACACCTCATAGGTTAGCTGTTACCAGTTACTACATGGGACAGTCATATACCATAGCTACTAAAGCTTGGTGGAAACCTAACTGCCCAAACGTAACAAATATTAAAAATGGCAGAAAAATCAAAGAGTGTTTTATCTATGGTGCTCTGATTCTCACTGAAATCGCTGTAAAGGCATTTTATACACTCAACAACTGCGAAAGTCAAGAAGGCAAACTGTGCAACACTGGAGAATGTGTGTATCTACATCAGCTTGAGAGACTCGGACAGATATTTTCCTATCTAGCTGTTTAAACGTTAATACACACACAAGCAAGCAGGAATGTTTAATGGAGCATTTATGGGCCTTGGGAAAATCAAACCTAAACATTATTACAGACACAGTAACACAATGTATACTTCTGTTTTGAACCAAAGTAATAAAAAGGTCTGATGTGTGTGTTTGTGTGTATTCGTGTGGGTACATGCACATATGTGCGTGTGTGTGAAAGTAAGAGGTCAACAGTGGACATCTTCCTCAATCACTTGCCTTATATTTTAAAAAAGCATTCTGATTCCATTTAAGCAGAAATATGGTAATTAAGTCAAGTAGCATTTATCAAAATATGCATTAGAAATGAGGACATATATGTAATACATATATATTGAACATATAATCTGTATATGCACTTACTAAGCCGGCTATAATTTTACTTTACATACCTCTGCAGGTCAACTATTTCATTGTTAAGGGTATCTAGTTCCTTAATAGCAGAGAAATCTGCAACAGGACTTGATCCTATGATGTTCTAAAAACAAAACAAAACAAAAGTCACAGTTACACATTACTACTGTAAACACTAAGCACTAAAAACGCTAAAAGCTATACTGGGAATCAAGCTTTCACTACACTACATCATTAGGACTTTAACCCTATTTAATGAAATACTCAGCACAACCTTATATACGTAATTGTAATTACATATGTACTTGGAAATTAAGACAGTCTCTTACATTCTCCAGAAAGCTATTTTGAACCCAACACCTCAGACACCATTGCTTCTGTCAAGTGATCCTAGTCTACCCAGAATTCTGTAAATAAAATATATGCTAGATTAGAAATTAATTTCTCCACTGATATGTGTTATTTATCAGCAAGAAGTACAGAATAAGTACACAAATTTTGTTGAATCTCAAATTATAATAGTGGTTGATTTTATTCAACTCAACAAACACTTTTTGTTTTGTTTTTGGGACAGGGATTCTCTGTGTAGCCCTGGCTATCCTGGACTCACTCTGTAGACCAGGCTGGCCTGGAACCTCCTGAGTGCTAGGATTAAAGGCATGTGGCCTAACAAATACTAACTTTTGTTAAATGCTTTTAGTATCTATTCTATTTAATCTAAAACCGAGTAACTAACTGCTCAAACATGTTCTGTAATAAATACGACCATCACTACATATGTAACATGTTTTTTTTGGTTTAGTTTTTTTTTTTGTTTTGTTTTGTTTTTTTATTTTTATTTTTTGCTATAGTGCTGTTTTGGGTTTTTGTTTCCTTGTTTGTTTAAGAGACTCTTAATTCTGTGTGTTTGTGGGCATGTGCACACCACAGAGGCAGAGAGAGACATTAGCTGCCCTGGCACTGCAGTTCCAGGAGGTTGTGAGCAGTGTGCCATGGATGCTGGGAGTCAAGCATCCTCTGCAGCAGCAACACACACCTGCCTGTCAGCCATCTCTCCAGCCTGTTTGGGTTTCTCACTTACCCAGGCCAGCCTTAAACGTGCTGTGGAGATAATGGTGACCTTGAATTTCTGATCCTCCTGCCTCTACCCACAAATGCTGGGACTAAAAGGGGGCACCAGTGCACACAACACTTAGTTTTCATTTAATAAGGATGATGTGAGAATTGGTTACCAAATGGTACTTACAGATACAAAATACAGGTTTAATCTAGATTCTGTTATTTTGTTAAGTATATGCTCTTCACCAGAAAATGGAGAAATTAATCCCTACCCTTGGGTCAAATAAGCAGTTTTCTTTTGAACTCCCACTGATGTCCTGTTAGCTTTCTAAAGTCAGAACAAAAGGACCTAAACACCTGGTTTATGCACATTATTACAATCTGACTGACAACAGAATCAGTAGCTTACGTAAAACTGCACCGACTGGGTGGAGCCTGAGATGTATTAATGACCTGATTAGCAGAGCACAAAACCAAGTATTGGCACTAATTTGAATTAGTCTATGTCACCATCTTGCACAGAAGAAACCTAACAGTCTCATAATATTCCACTTCCTCACCGTACACAATCACTGAACATTCACTAAGCGCTGCTAGGCCCACCAATCAGTTCTCAGAAGTAATCTGAAAGGTGGATTATTAGGGAGGCCTGAATTCACTCAATTAAAGCAGAGGAAACAAACCAAGTACCTGCTCAAGGTTAAACCAGGCTACTAATTTGATCAAAAGTCTTCTGAGTAGATCAAAGTGTCATTTCACAGCAGGACCTTTGGCATTTGCATGGCAAAATAGTTTAGAAAACACTGTGCTAAAAGTAAACTTGGTAAACAGGTAGATAAAATTTGACAATTCCTTCTGCTTTTTTTTTTTTTTTTTTTACTATTAGCTTAAAAGTCATCTATATGAATTCAAATAATTAAACTTCAAATTTTATATTAATTACAACTCTGTATCAAATATATTTCTTTTGAAGGGGTAGTTGAGACGAGGCTTCCCCCTAAATAGCCCAGGCTACTCTTGAGCTCACTATGTAGTGCAGGCTAGTCTTACACTTACTATCAAGCTCCTGTTTCAGCCTCTGGAGTGCTGAGGCCACTGGTATACACTGCCATAATGATACCCAAGAGTACGTAACTGTTTTACTAACCCCACTGACACACACTGAGACTGTTAGGCATACTCTGCATCAGACAGTTATTAAGTTTTGGCTTTATTTAAACCTGATCTGTGATTTAGGATGAGTCAGCAAGCCAGGTCAGGTGAAAAAAAAAAAAAAAAACACAAAAAAAAAACCAAAAAATAACACTTGATCTCACTTTCATCACCAAGAGTAATTTCTGTCATTTAAATGCTACTGAGAAATGTTCTGTCAGAGGTGCAAGTACGCCAGGAAACACATGGTTTCCACACCTCTCTGTCACTCCAACTTTAAAAAGTGGCTCACACTTGACAGTCTTCGCTATTAAAATACCAACAGATAAGAAGATAAAGTTACACAAATTAGTTTAACCTCAAACAAGTTAGCTTCATGACTAAAACGGCATGCAAGCAAATAGGCAAAAGTTCAGCTAAAATTATTATGTACAGCAGGTGAAGGGTACACAAAAAATATTTTAAAAAAACATCGTATTAATTCACTTAATTTTGAATTATTTTTTTCTGTGTATGGTGTTTGCTTACCTATGAGTGAGTCTGTATACCAAGTATGTGCCTGGTGCCTGTGGGGACCAGAAGAGGGCTCTGGATCCCTGGGAACTGGAGTGACAGACGCTTGTGAGCTGCCATGGGTGAGCTGGGAAACAAACCCAGGTCTTCCGGTAAGGCAGCCAGTGCTCAGAACTGCTAAGGCATCTCTGCACACACGCCTTTTTGTTTAATGTGCACATGCATGGGTGTTCTGACTCTATGTCAGTGGACCACGCACATGTATGCAGTGCTGGTGCAGGCCAGAAGGTGGCAGCTTTCCTTGAAACTGGAGTTACAGACAGCTGTGAAGCCACCATGCGTGTGCAGGCAACCACAACGTGGGTCCTTTGGAGAAGCCGTCTCTCCAGCCCACACGCACCCTTCCTACACGGACTTCTCCCGCACTCTGTGCATTTCACAGAAGTCTCCCTTTAGTGGTTCTGAGTGGAGGAAGGAGTCCAGGGAAGGCAAGCTACAGGGCAGGCAAGGATCAAGTGACACGTGATAGAAGCATACTAACAGCTGTTTCCACGTTTATCAACTCTGCTGCATAAAAACCCTCTAATTTCAAAATATGTCATGTAAATAAAAACTGTAATGCTAAAATACAACAACAAAGAGAGCATAAAATAAAGCTCTAACCTTGAGAGAGAGGAGAGTTAAGAAACTGACAGTACAAGAAAGGCGAAAGCAGAGTGCTGCAGAATGGAAAAAACAGTCCAAACTAGAAAAAACACAGAAAGGAGGAAAGCGACATTCAAAAAGGATTAGTTGAAATTTCAAAGAAATTCAGTACTTCTTTTTTATTTTTTTTTTCTTTAAATAAATCAGAATATAAGGAGAAAAGAGATTATTTGAAAGTACAAATTTTATTTTTTTGGTCAATAGATAAGACAACAGTTATAAAATATTTCCATGAATCTGGCACCAAGAGACGTGGTATGCTCTCAGAAATGGACTTCTGAGTCCACTATCTCATGTGTCTACCAGCATACAGATTTCAATGAACAGACACAAATTGATTCAGTAATTTCTGTTCTCCTGGAAACTAGAGTTCACAGGCATTTCAGTCCTTATAAATTAAGAATGCAGAAGAACAAATTCTATGTAAGTGAAGTCTACAGTGTTGCATGCTGAGCTACAGAAGAGCAGAAAGCAGAAGTATAAACCAGTACCCTTCATCTTTCTGAGCGTATCACTTTCAGCCTCTCTACAACCTAGCAAGCCCATGTCATACATCATAGAGTCTACAAAAATTCACAAAGTGGCCCACCCCAAAACTCAACAAGTATAAAAACTTGTTTGTATAACTAATTCTCAGGACTTGGCAGTGGTGAATTCACTTAGTTTACTGGGCGGGGGGGTGGAGGGTATCCAATTTTGATTTTTGCTAGGTACAAATGAAATTTTAAACTATGTTAGAAATTAATGCGAAATCAAAACATTGTATTGATACTTGAGAGTGCTTAACAGCACACATTTGACAGCTCCTGTTATGTACAATCCTGAAAAGTCACTATAGAAATATTTATGTTACAAATGAAAAGAGATTTAAAGATACAAAGTTTGTGTAGGACGTTTTATTTGTTTTTTTGTTTATTTGTTTGTTTTTTGAGATGAGGTCTCCTTGTGCTGCCCAGGATAACCTTGAACTTCTGGATTCAAGAATTCTTTAGCTTCAGCCTTCGTAGGAACTGAGACTGCAGGCTCAAACGGCACCTGGTTATTTAATTCTAAAAGCAACTAAATCCACTATATGTAAGTCCTTTGAAAGGTCTATTACAGACCAGAATATTGTAAATGTTCTCTATGAAAAACGGTTTCTAGATAAGAAAAAATTTAAAGTACAACATGGCTAAGATGAAGATGTTCTCAAAATTCCCACTGCTGATTAGAAACCCAGTTAACATCTAGCTGTTTAGATACGAAGCTCAGCTGTATACTTAAGAATGAATCCTATGGCAAAAGCCACACACAGATGGATCCTTAACATACATTTTTTCTTGATGTAAAATTTTGATGTAAAATTGTAACTAAGCAATGACTATCTCCTAGATTTTGATTCCAAATTTGTATTGTTTTTCTGTCAGAGTAAATCACCAAGTAAAATGTATACATTTAATTCTTACAGCTACCATTTCAATTCTATTCATAAAAATTGACTAGGCAAGGTACATGCCTAAAATCCTAGCATTTGGGAAGTGAGGGCAGAAAGGGTCAGAAGTTAAGATAATTTTCAGCTACACAGTGTTCAATGCCAGCCTGGGCTACAGGAGATCCTGTTGCAATTCTTTTTAAAATCTCTTCAATTTACTATAGTAAAGTACAGCTGTCATATGATAATGAGCAGTGGGGGTGACAAGCCACAATTGAAGGATGCTGTAGAAGGGACACGAGCTTGTTCACACACACTGAACCAACAGTGACCGCTCTGTCCTCTACCTCTGTGACTTGACACAGCACCCTCCCACACTCGGGCATGCAGGTCCTCCTTGCAGTTAGCTTACCTTTTGTAAACTGGACCTCTCTGATGGTGGAATCATCTCTGGAGTGAGAATATGAGGAGGGTCAATGCCTTTTGTTAACTTCTGATTGATTAAGTGAAACGCCAAGGCAAACTGGTCTTTTGAAAGCTTCCCACAGTCCTTTGTGTCACATAGTGACCTACACAGATAAACCAAACAGTACATAAGTGCTATAATTACCCCAAAGCTCCAGCCAGCTAAACTGAAAATAGAACACAACACTAACATAAACATTAAAGAAGTGGACCACATTTAGATGTTAACCAGATCCTGGGGCCCATGAAACCTCACAGAAGAAAGCAGGAGGGTGGAGAAGGGTGCTGTGAAGTGCTTCCCTGGATAGGACACTGCGGCAGCCACAAGCACAGCAGCTGCGGTTACCTGTACAAGACTGACCCCTCAACACTGCAGCATGACTAGGGACAGGCACATGAGGCCCTCCCTTAACTGCGGCCGTGAATGGCTGCAGGGAAAAGGAAGTCATTTTTCTTCAGTGAAGTAGTCACAGGTAAATTGCACGTGACCCAGTAAATAATCCTACACCCACACCCATGTATATGCAAGCAACCATCATTAAGCTCAGGAGATTAGAAAACAAATAAAAACATAAAAGTTAAAAGGAGATAGTTGTAAAGAAGGGCTCCAGAGAGCAGAAAGGTGACAGGAGAGGGTAACGGAGTATGCGAATGATCAATTATATACATGTATCAAATTTAAAAAATTTTAAAGAGCACCAGAAAACACAACAATAAAACCTGTCCATTCTTCTTTTTAAAGTTCAGCTTTATAAAGTGATTCTCTGAAAGTCACCGTGGCCTGATGAAAAGATTAGAGCACAGCAACAAGCGGAATGTGGATCCCGCCTTTCTCTTCACTTCTCCTTATAACCTCAAGCAAAATTTTTTGAGGTGTCAAGTCTCAGTTTCTCCATCTCTGAGAAAGGCAACATCTAATTAAAGCTGGAGCACAGCACCACGCCCATCTGTGACAGCTGCCATCGGCTCTGTGTGCTTACCCTAGGCATCCAGAGGTGGATTGTCAGCTCTGCAAGCTCAATCTTTCTCAGCCTCAACACTCATCACTCTTAACACAGACCTACTATGCTCTGCTCTCTAAGCTTCTCTTTGCAACTTTTTGTGTTTGTTGCTTCTTACAAAAATCAAGATAGCTGGGCGACAGTGGTGGCAGGCACAGGGCAAAGCGCGCTCACACGCGTTGCCACATGTAATATGGAAGGGATTACCAACAAGCAGTGTCATGGGCAAATGTGTACTGCACATACATCTTACAGGGTGAGACAGGGACACCATTTCTTTTACTTTAAATAAAATACTGTCTCGCACAAACCTTACAAATAAAACAAAACAAAAACAAACCCACCTAGACTAGTGTAGCCATTCAAACAACCAACTCCCCAGGTCTACACACCTCGGTGAACACATTCGCTTCTGTGAACACAGCCATTCTGAAGCTATGGACTCTGCTTACATGCTTCTGCATTTATCCTCCACAAAGAATTAAAAACCTATCACAGAGTTAAGACTAGAAATGTAAGTCTTACTGCCTCTTTCATGACTCATGTGCTCTTTACCTGCACTGTCCTTCCTCATCACCCTTTCCTGCTCTCCTCAATACATGTAATACTTGCTTTTCCCACATGCATATCTGTTCACTTATGTACATGTATATATATGGTACAGGCAAAGACCCACAAGGAAGAACACGCAGAACTTTTCTTTCTGAGATTAAATAACCTCAATATTATACATTTATTTATTTTCCTATAAAGATATTTGCATTCTATTTATTGCTGCTCTATTCTCTACAGAATGAAATGGGACCAAGAGACCCCCATCAACAGATAAATGCCAACAAAATTTTGTATATATAAAAAATGGGGGGGCTGGAGAGATGGCTCAGTGGTTACAAGCACATCTGCTCCAAAGGACCAGGGTTCAATTCTCCACACCCACATGACAGCTCCTAACTGTCTGCACCGCCAAGGGATCCGACACCTTCACACTAATGCACATAAATAAAATTAAATAAATTATTTTTAAAAATAGGATGTTATTCAGCTCAAAAGAAAAATGAAATGTCTATCATGTGTGCATATGAGAGAGAAAGAAAAAGAGAGAGCATGTGGTGGTCTCATTTATCCCAGGCTGGTCTTAAAGGTCCCTGTATAGTCAGGCAGGAGATGCCCCTCGAATCTTCCACCTCTCTGGGTACGGGGACTGCAGGTGCGTGCCATCACACCCAGTACATAACAGGAGGGATCAAATCCAGGCCCTTCTGCATGGGAGGAGCTATATCCTAGCCCTAAAGGTACTACCTATTAAAATGTTTAAATTTCAGCTACCTAGATTTTCTCTTAAGATTCTCAGAGCTTTAACTTGTATATACAAATGCTGCACTTTAACAACCTAACAAGTAGCTGATGCTATCACCTTTCTAAAGCTTCAGGCAAACAAATCATTCTTAAGTTCTGGAGCTTTGTTTTTTAATTCCACTCTCGAATGTTTGTTCATTATACACAGTACTTCTTCAAATTTGAATTTCTTCTATTAAAAAAAAAGAAACATACTGTTCAAAAAAGTAGTAAAAAATGTGAATGTATAAAACTAGAGTTGAAACAGAACCACATATACACAAAAACATGCACTTAAAAAAATTCTATTAAAGTCTCACCAAATGTGGGCCAGCACAGCAGAAGGCAACCCTGTTTTCAGGAAGGTGTCCCGGACCTCCAGTCCGGATACGTATCCATCCATATCCTTGTCAGTTTTCAGGAAGATCTCGTCATATTTAGCCTTCTCTGCAGGGGACACAACCCACTGGGGTGGGAGAGAAAGTTCTGTCAAGTGAGTGCAACTTTGAAGACAGCACACACCTCACACTCTTTCCAACCACAGCGGCATCTGTCACCAACCTTCACAAATCCACCAAAATACCCTTGATATCAGTGCACTGCCTCCCATACACCACCACCAAACAGTAGAAAGAGAGGCAACAACATTAAGTCAGTTTGGACATTCAGAGATGCCAACTTAACATTCTTCTTTAAGGAACCAGTAAAGTCAAGCACAGTAAGCCTGACCTAAGAATTCCCATACTAACAGCAGTAACCGGGAAACCTGCATAAACAAACTGTCCCCCGCTTTGTTTTCCAGTTCCATGCAGCACTGCTGCCCAGAGCTGAGCGTGCACATGCTGTCCTTAGCTGGCCTCACACGACCTGACAAGAGACAGGTCAGAGGAAGTAAGAATCGGCCAGAACAGTGTGGTCTGAAGAACCAAGAGTTAACTACAGATTGAAAATAATTACCATGGCAGGAAAGCATGCATGTTAGCACACAGTATCTTCCACCTCCACCTCTACCCTCCAACAGATCAGGGCAAGGCCAGGCGGACATCCAGAGGACCTAAGGAGCACCTGCCTCCTCGGGGCGTCATGTTACACGGGTTCACGGAGGGGTGTGCAGCATCTTTAGACTGCTCCTGTCTTTATCAACCACATTCATGCATTTTGTTACAGCAAAACCCTTCAACACTGATAAATCTCTACCTGTCTTAACGGTGCTTTGGTAGGTAAAATGCCTACAGGTGGCAAGGAGTGGTAAGAGTCCTTGGCTGCTGAAGAGGGGGTCAACCACATGGAGCCTGATATACTGACCGTTTTTCTCTTAGAAGGCGGCACCAAGGCTGGAGGCAAGGACATTGGCACAGGTTCTTTCTCCAGTGCACAGTATACCAAAAACATGGCCTTGAAGATAAACAAAACAAAGACAAATATATTAGAAAATTATTATATAATTCACCGAGTTGATTACTGTTGAATAACAAGTAATTTTCAAGCTGTGTCAAATACAGACTTCTGGAGCCTTCAATGGCCACCTCCTGTAACCAAAAAAGGCTTTCAGTGGAGAAACTGGAACACAAACCCAGCCACAAAGCCTTAGACTCACAACTTCTCTTGCCAACAAAATACGCAGAGAGAAAGGTGGAGGAGAAGTTGAGGGATGGCTAACCAATGACTAGCCCAGCTTGAGAGCTAACCCAGAAGAGAGAACACCCAGACACTGGGACTGATGCTCTGCTACACTTCCAGACAGGCCCCTAGCAGAACTGTCACCTGAGAGGCATCCCCCAGCAACTGATGGAAACGATGCAGACACCCACAGCCAAACATTAGGCATAGCTTAAGGAAATTCCAACAAAGAGGGGCACGAAAGACTGAAGAATCCCGAGGTCAAGGACACCACAAAAACAAACATACAAAATCAACTAAGCTGGGCCCATAGGGGCCCACAGAGAGTGGACCAACAACCAGAGAGCACACAGAGGACAGACCTATGCCCACTGCACATATGTCACAGATATCTTCATGTGCGGCTCCTACCAGCAGGGGCAGGAGTGGGATCTGACTCTGCTGCCTAACTTAGGATCCCTTTCCCCTAACTGGGCTGCCTTGCCTAACCACAACAGAAGATGCGCCTAGTCCTCCTAAAACTTGATATGCTAAGGCTGGTTGATATCCCTGGGAGGCCTCCCTTTTTCTGAGCCTGTTCTGAGGAGAAAGGAAAGATGAGAGGATGGGGGGGAGGGGAGGTGAGTGGGAAGGCCTGGGAGGAGAGGAGGAAGGGGAAACTGTGATCAAGACATAAAATAAATTAATTAATAAAAATATATAAATTCACTCATTGAGCCAATCATGGTTCAACAAGTCATTTTCAAGCTGTTTTAAATATATATGCATATAGATATAGTTTGTTTATTTATCTCTTTGTATTTTAGAGACAAGAGTTTCTCTGTGTATCCCTGCTGTCCTAGAACTTGCTCTATACATCTTGAACTCAGAGACCAGCCCGGTCTGTGTCCTGGGTGCTGGGATTAAAGTTGTGAGCCACAATGGCCTGGCATCTCAAATCTTTTTAGAGAGAAAAGAGGAAAAAAGAGGAAGAAACAAAAAGAAAAAGGAAGAAAAATAAGGAACTCAAAGCTAAATCATTCTTAGGAAGAAATACTCAGCAAAAACTTGGGAGGCACACCACCCTTCACTGAAGTTCCATTAGCAAAGAATATGAGGATTCGGAGAAAAGGCTGCCTATTAAAAAAAAAAAAAAAAAAAAAAAAAAACTCCTAATATACAAAAATTCTCCCAGAAATTAACAGAGCACAAATTTAAGTTCAATAAAAACATGGACAAAAGTATGAACAACTAATTTAAAAAAATGGACACCAGAAATAGCCCATCCTTTAACATACAAAAACATGTAACATGCTCAATTTCACTCTTAAACTACAACTACAGGTTAAAATTACAGTGGGTTAACATTTAGCCTAAGTGGCAGGAATCCCGAGTTCCAAAACGTACTCGGCAGCTGAACTGTGGGGAAAGGGGGCTGTTAGACATTGCTGGTGGGCACTGGAGGGTAACTGGTGCCACGCTGGCAGGCTTCCTTGGGGCAGAGGGCAAGGAGGCAACAGCACAGACGACCTTGCCAAAAGCCTCAGTTCTCAAGTGTTGGGGTTGCACATATGAGCCACAGTCTCACCTGACCTTGCACAGCTCAGAGACCATGGCTCAGACACACTTACATTAGAGGCATCACTAGCCTCTATCTACCATTGGGGCCTTTCCACCACTTGTGGCCTCCAGTGACTGGCGTTCTTTTTCTTTGTCTTGTCATTTACCTTAGACTTTATGTGTGCTGAAGACGCTGTAATGGACTGAGTTCTAAGTCACCTCCTGGATAGCTTTCTTTCACTAAATTGTCTCTCAAGTATATACGTATTAATAAACTTGTATTTTTTCTTCTGGGAACATATCTTTTGTTACATGAATCCCAGCCAAGAACTTAAAAAGGCTCTACAAAACTCACATCAGTACTATCCTTTTAAGGGCAATTCTCTTCTCTTTGCCTCAACCATCTCACATCTGGGAACGTATTCTTATATTTATTTGTCTATACATGAAATGCTGCATAAAAAAGATCATTAATCACAGCAACTGTCTGCATCAGCACCTAACTCCCATCAATAAAAGACTAACTTAAAAATTATGGTATACCTATATGATAAATTATGAAGCAGCAAAAAAAAAAAAAAAAAAATCATAAAACTGGGTGGTGGTGGTGCACGTCTTTAGTCCCAGCACTCAAGAGGCAGAGGCAAGCAGATCTCTAGGAGTTCGAGGCCAGCCTGGTCTACAGAGTAAGTTTCAGGACAGCCAGAGCTACACAGAGAAAACCCTTCCACAAAAAAATGTAATAACAACAAAAAGAGAACAAACAAACAAAACCAAATCCTAGGAAAGCATTATGATATTGTCTTCATAAATATGTAATTTCCGAAATTTACCAAATTATATACTTAAATTGGAAGCAATCCATTGTATGTAGTCCCAAAACCAATATACCAGGGGGAAAAAAATAACCTATGAGAAAATAAGCCCAAGGATCTAAAGCCCACTATTAACATAAAAAAGTACAGTGCTAAACACACAACCTCCATTGTGTGTGTATATATATACAGATGTGTGTTTGTTTGTGTGTAATGTTATCTTCTGTGGTAAAGAAGAAATAATTTATTCACAATTTGTGTACATTTAGACCAGGAAATTTAAGGATAAACCAGAAACTAAGAAAAGTCGCTGCTCAGAGAAGACTCCATCAGTTGAGGGCAGGGATGGATCTTTTTCACTATCTTCTTGTACTAATTCTGACCCATTAGAATGTACTACTTGTGTAAATCACTTGTGTAAAGTACTGTAACTTCTCCATGTTAAAGGCTGTAAGACACCTGTCAAGAGATGCTCAGAAGTGATGTTTCTATGGCTAAAAAAAAAAAAAAAAAAAAAAGAGGAAAACTACATAATAAAAGAAAAACAGGGGGGAGGATAGAGAAAAACGCTCAGCGGTTAGCGGTTAAGAACATTGGCTGCTCTTCTAAAGGACCTGGGTTCAAATCCCAGCACCCACATGGCAGGTTACAACTGTCTTGTCTGTAGTTCCAGTTCCAGGAGATCTGACACCCTCACACAGACACACATGGAGGCAAAACACCAATGTACATAAAACAAAATTATAAAAGAAAAACAGACAACGTCTTAATCATGTGAAGAAGTCAGTTACATGTACCCTCTAGGATTCCCATAGAAACTGGCAGAGTATATTATTACTTAATTCCACTGAAAATCATAATTCTCTCAAGAGGAACTTGGGGCTCCTATCTTAACTCCTAAGTTTGAGTTTGACAGTTTTTAAATCAGTTTGGACTCAGGACTTAGTACAACTGTGACCCACAATTCCTGTGATGGCTAATATTTTATAAATGAAGAAACTGCAGCTCAGAGATGCTAATTTGCCTAATATAATATTTTAAAGACACCACAGGCTACGGTATACACTAAACCACACAGTGTCACAAGCCTATAAACCCAGGACTAAGGTCTGAACAGCGGAAGACTGAGTTTAAGGCTGGCCTAGACTATACAAGAGTCTGTCTCAAAAAACATAATTTTAAAATGTGTATGTATATAGATACCTACACATATACACGTAGGGGTATATATATGCATATATGTGTGTGTGTGTAAAATGTGTATGGTTCAAGCCAGGACCTCCCAGCTACAGTATTCTTGCTCAATGGAGGTCTGAGCAGCACTAACCACAGCACCGTATAATAATTTACACACCACGCTTCCCTTCGTAAATTGCAAAAGCTAACCCTGACCTGTGGATCCACACTACGTGGGCATCAGAATTTCCTGGACGGCTTAGTAGATCTGTAATTGTAATTTCAGGATCAGCAAAGCTGGCACTGGGCCAGAGAATCTCCATTTCTAACAAGTTCCCAGGTTACTCTGGTGCTGTGTATCCAGGGATAGCCAAACCAAGCCTTTTCCACACTAGACAAAAACAAGAATTAAATGTGGTCTGAAAACAGACGGACTCTGTCTCCAGACAGGGTGGACGCACCACTGCCAGTCAAATTGACAGTGTAGGTAGTATTAGATTGGCACTTTGCTAAGAGGGAGAAGTGACTAGCGTGCATAGAAAGTCAGCATTCTGTTACAGACGGAAGTCATTTCCTGGAAAAGCGGACACTAAACAAAACAGAACCAAAAGATGGCAGCTTGCCATCTGCTGCCAACAGACAACAGTTTTTTCTAAAAGTTAACAGTTAGTAATTGGCCTGAGAGATGGCTCAGCAGTTAAGAGCACTGCCTGCTCTTCCAGAGGACCCGAGTTCAACTCCCAGCACCCACATGGCAGCTCACAACTGTCTGTCACTCCCTTCGAGGGGATGCACATAAAATAAAAATAAACTATTAAAAAGTTATTAATTTCATGAGTCCTAACAAAACTAAAGCCAAGTTTTTGTTTGTTTGTTTGTTTTCACTAAACTATTAAAGGCGAGCAGCAGAGCTTTAGCACTGCTGGATCATGACCTTGTCTTATTAGACTGTACTTTATCCTAAAGGAACACTGCAACTGAAACAAACAGCAACCAGAGCAAACGATGCCTCCCCGCCCCCGCCCCACCTGCCCCCATGTGTGCATGGGAACAGAGAAATGCCAGTTGTCAAGCTGGCATACACTAGAGTGCACATACATGGAAACACGCTAAACTAAACAGCTATTAGGACACCTTTTTATTGACAAATAAAATCAGCCCAGGCTGTGGTGGTGGTGGTGGTGGTGCACACCTTTGATTCCAGCACTTGGGAGATAGAGGCAGGTAAATCTGAGTTCAAGGCCAGCCTGGTCTACAGAGCAAGTTCCAAGACAGAGCTACACAGAGAAACCCTATCTCAAAAAAAATAAAAACAAAAAACCAAAGTCGATTACTTACTTAATTAAAATAAAATACAATTGTAACAAACAAACCTGAACTTTACACAGGGTGAGAGGGAAAGAAAGGACTTAGCTCAGAATTACATCAACTCCTGACCTTCTTTAGGAGTGTTTTTCTCTTTGTGTTTTAAGCAATGTTAACTGTCAGTGGGCTTCAGATCAATCTGAAGGGTTATTAACATCCATCATCCTATGGTACATTAACCAAGTACAGTAAGGATAAATTGAAATGGGAAATATTTCCCAAGGCAGGTGACACACTATAATTTAAGCACGTAGGAAGCTTGTAAGCTCAAACCTGTTTTAATAAAGATGTTAGGACGTGTGGGTGTGGGAAGGTTATCTTGAAATAAGATTTTACACTTTAAGAATGTTTAGTTACTTACAACTGCAAATTCATCTCTGTCAAGCTTCCCGTCATGATCAATATCACTCAACTCCCAAACCTTAAAAAGAGAAGTGAGAACAATTAATGCTGTTTTAGTTTATGTGCTATTTAGGGACAGGACGAGAAAGTACACTAAGGGAATATGATAATGCCTGATGCCAAGTATCTTTTTTTTTTTCCACAATTTATTCATTATATATTGCGATTGAAGCCCTCTCCCTCATCTCCTCTCAGTTCCACCCTCCCTTCCTTCCTCCCCGCCCCACATCCTCTTCCTCTAGTCTACTGAAAGGTGGGTGGGTGGGGGGTGTCTCTCCTTTGCCATCTACCTATAGCTTGTCAGGTCTCATCAGGACTGCTGGATCCTCTTCCTTGGTGGCCTGGGAAGGCTGCACCCACAGAGGTAAGTGATCGAAGAGCAGGTAACCAAGTTCATGACAGAGGCAGCCCCTGCTCCCCTTACTCAGGAACCCACATGGAAACTGAGCTTCATCTAAGCAGAGGGCCTAGGTCCTCTCCACGCATGGTCCTACCTTGGTGCAGTATCAGTCTCTGCAGGACCCTGCTGGGCCCAGATTTCTAGCTTTGTTGGTCTCCTTGTGGGGCTCCTGTCCCCTCCATGACCTTCTACCACACACACACACACCCATTGTAGCCAAAATCTGGAAACAACCCAGATGTTCCTCAATGGAGGAATGGATGTATAAATTGTACATTTACACAATGGAATACTACTCAACTATTAAAACAAGGAAATCATGAAATTTGCAGGTAAATGGTGGGAACTAGAAAAGATCTTCCTGAGTGAGGTAACCCAGAAAGAGAGGCATGGTATACACTTACTTATAAGTGGACATTAGCCGTATAATATAGGATAGCCACACTAAAAATCTACAGAACTAAAGAGGCTAAACACTAAGGAGGACCCGAGGGAGGATGCTTAAATCTTACTCCGAATGGCAAACAGGATAGACACCAGAAGTGGTGGAAGAGAGGAAATAGGAATGCAGGTCTACTATAGAGGGTCCTCTGAAAGGCTCCACCCAGCAAGGGATCAAAGCAGATGCTGAGACTCACAGACAAACTTTGGGCAGAGCACAGGGAGTCTTATGGCTAAGTATCTTAAAAGGAATCTGGGCTTTGTCTTAATTGCATGGGAAGTTACTAGAAGGTTAGTTTAAAGCAATAAAATAAGAATACTCAAAGTTTAGGAATCTCACACCAACCATACAATAGAGAAAAGGTTGGAAACAATATTAGAAAATAGCTTTTAATAATTAGTATTTGATGGGTGTGATGGCGCATGCTTTAGTCCCAGTACTCAGGAGGCAAGGCAGGTGGATATGCGTTCAAGGGCAGCATGGACTATAAAAAGTTGCAGGGTAGCCTGAGCTACACAGAGAAACCATCTCAAAAACCAAACAAACAAACAACCAAAGCAGTATTTATGAGCCCTCGTGACGCAGGGGTGGTGGCACAAGCTTTTCTGGCAATGTGACGATCGTCATCGCCATCACCACCATAGCACCTAACGTTCTGGAGTTTGTAACAAGTGCTGCATCAAGTACATCACATACGCCATCACACTAAACCCCTGCACTCTGTCAAGGAAGGAGGATAGCCAGCAGTCTTCCTAAGGACCTCCCCAAGATCACTTAACTAAGAAGCAGGGCAGCAGGGATTTGACCCCTGTGGCTGTTTTCTCAAGGGATTATGGAGAGATCTGAGAGTTTAAAGAGAGTAGTTACAGTTTAAAACATGAAGGAAGAAAGGAGAGAAATTATATTGGAAATAGCACAAAAATGATGAGTAGGGAGAAACCCAGATACGATTAGTGATCATGAATTTTATTAGCATTTCTTAAAAGCCCATATGCAACAAAAGAGAAAGCAGACAATTAGCATTTGCAAAATTGAGTTTTTAGTAAAATCAAAAACTTAACAAAGTTAAAAAATTAAAGTCTTAAAAGCATTTAGGAAAAGAGACCTAAATAGGGATTATAGGGAATTTATGATTTTTGAAGAACAATGTGGAAGAAGAGATAGGAACAAAGGATTATGGATGAACACACACAAGCTGAATAAAGAAAAACAATTTCTGAAGACACTAAGATACAGCTTTACTCTCACAAGCTGCAAAAAGTCATGGAGATGATGGTGATGGTGGCTCTAAGAAACATCACCATGCTTAACATTACTAGCTGAACACAGAATCTGTGAACTACATGGGCAGGGTGGGTAGCTCAGGTAAGTATGTGTCATGCAAGCATGAGGGATAAGGATAAGGAAGAACATGCCTCAAAAACAAAACACAAAAATAAGTAAGAAAATAAGAAAGCACAGCGAAGTAGAAAGTTGCTGGCGAGCAACAGCTGAGGCACCCCCATGTACACACAGGTGCAGGCACACACACAGAGAAGAAAAAAACTTTTTTGTGGTACAAACAAAACTCAAAAACTGACAGAAGGGGCTAGCTTGACAGCTTAGCAGGTAAAGGAGGTTGCTGCCAAACCCAGCAACCTAAGCTCTATTCCCAGGACCCACCGCGTGGAAGGAGCTAACCAATTCCCTCAAGTTGTCCCTGAATCTTCACATTGGCCTACTGTGGCATACACCCAACACATACACACGCACACATTAGTTATAATGAAATTTTTAAAAGACAGAGGGGAAGTAAAGGAGTCTGAGATTAAAAAATTAAAGTTTTAACGAACATTTAGGGAAAAAAATTTGAGAAGCCTAGTCAGAAAGCAAAACTTATGATCTCATCTATTCCTTTAAACAAGACCCTGTGATACACAGGCTGAGGCAGAAAACACAAAATACAAATGGTCTGGGCCTGGAGAGATGGCTCAGCAATTAACAACATTTGCTGCTCTTCCAGAGGACCTAAGTCCCAGCACCCACATGGTGGCTCACAAGTTCTTGTCCAAAGGGTCCCACACCCAGTCTCCATACCACGGGCACCTGCACTCATACGTGCACACATAATTTAAAATAAAATAAATCTTTTAAAAAAGATACAGATGGTCCTCAGAACTTATTAAACCAACTAGATCATTCAAGTACACATGCACAGAAAGACAGACCTGCTAGTGGACTTACGTATCTAACTAACTGCAACCACTCATTTTATGGGAATAACTAAAACCTGAAACACAAGGTCAATAATTTACATGTTACAAATACAGAAAATTCTGTACTGACACAACTTTAATAAGATCTGTGTGTATATTAAACAATGAGCCCTTAGTGCTCCTGGTAGGTATAAAATTAGAATATACAATAAACTGCATCTAGTACAACACTGTAACCCATGAGGCTCAGGCACGAGGTTCACGAGTTCTAGGCCAGCATGAGCGACACATTAAGTAGGTCTCAAAACAAACAAAAAAATCACATTTAAAGTTTGCTAGCTTACTCTGCCAAGGATTTCCACAGGTAACTTAGAGTTGAGCAACACTGGCTTTACTTTATCACCGGACAAAAATCCATCCACTGGGCTTAAACTGTCAAAAATTGCATCATATTTGGCTTTATCTTCAGACTATAATATGAAAAAAAAGACAAGTTAAATAACCATGAAAAAATTTAACTGCACATATAAAAATCAAATCCTCAAATATCAGGTATAATTTTTAAGCTAAAACACTTAAGAAAAAAACATTTTCATCAAAATACATTAAATAATTTCTAAGTGTCTCTACTGCAGACTAGCAGGAACATTATCTTTACTTTTCTACTGTCCAGTTAGAATTAAACAATCTCAGACAGAATGCTTTGAGGAGCACTAGTCCATTCAAACAGACTCACAGCAAGAAAGCAACTTTTCTAAGACACATCAGTGGTGATTTTTTATCTTTTAATTCAAAGAAAGAAAATGTTTAAAAGTTGTCATGAAATGGCTAACAGCGAAAGCATTCCTCAAGATTTTCAATTTCAGTATTTTCCCTACACTCCTTGAACATGTATATGAAAGCCCAATGCAGAACAACGTATTTTGAGTGTAGGAAGAAAAGGTATTTAGTGTAGGAAGCGAAGGAGATGAAAGTAGCGTACGTACCTTTACGGCCCACGGGAGCTCAGCCGCTGAGATCCCACGGGTGAGCGAAGGACTACTGGAGTCATGCTAGAAAACACAGAACAGTGACCTGGGAAGGCTTCATACCAACAGTCAACGAAGAAAATGTGGTTTTGCGTTTAAGGACGTGTATAAAATGTGGGATATCAACACTACTTTCCTTTAATTAGACCTTCATCTACTGTTCACTGAAATAAAAACATTTTCAATTTGCCAAACTATTTTATAGTGGAATACCGAAAACATAACTGTAGAATTTCTACAACAACTGAAAGTAATAAACATCTGATCTGAATGTTAACATCCTTACAACCTTTTGATGACCTTTTTCCAGTATTATTTAAGAAAAGCAGACTAGAAGAGCTTGTTTAACCCTTGCAAGTTACCTGTTATGACACCCAGTGTCAGCACACTCAAGTTACTGTCCTTAGCTGGCTGAAGAGACAGGTGGCTATATTTGAAAACCCCCATATTATACCTAGGCAAAAATACTATGACACGTTTGTAGGTCGTGTCTAAACAGAGAGATAAAGACATTCTTAAAACTGAAGTTAGTAACCCTCTTTATTGCGTTATTTTATGTGCACAGGTATTTTGCCCACATGTACTACTTGCAGGCCTGGTGCCCACATACAGCAGAAAAGCAGGTTGGATCCCCACAGTCCAGAGATATAGACAGTTGTAAGCCACCATGTGGGTGTTGGGAATCAAGCCTGGATCCTCTGGAAGAAAAGTCAGCGTTCTTAACTGCTAAGCCAGTTCATTAGGCTCCTAAAGTTAAGAAAAACCTTAATACTTCTAAAATATTAAAAAAAAAAGGGGGGGGGGAGTAGGAGATGCCTCAGTGATAAAACACATGCCCAGTAGGCGCAAGGCCCTCGTTTAGCTCCAGAAACAACAAAATTATTTTTTAAAATTAAATTAAAACAACAGCTATTAAATTTCTGAAAAGGTTTGGGTGGAGAACATATATCATATATAAAAAGTTTCCCAAACAATGATAATCAAAACATTGAAAAATTAGCACAAAGATAAACATCAATAAATAAGAACAGAAAAACATCAAAATGCATATGGCAATTTAGGGCATCGCTGATCTGTCATTTGAAATCGGTATGAAAAAAATTCAATATACTATATTATTAATATACTATATATTAATATAGCATATTATTCAATATACTATATTAATTCTATTTGGTAGCTATCATGAAAGACTGAATTTGAATCTATACTCACACCTCCATCAGGAATAACAAATATAGGGGAAAAAAAACAAGTTTTAGATTGACAATTTCTTTACATACGCAATTTTGCTGTGAGAGTAAAAAACATAACCAAGTAAAAACAAATGACAAACTGGAAGGGCATATGCACATGCTATGCTATGGAGAGTTGACTTTCTAATTTCTAAAGACCCTCTAGAATTTCGGAAGAAAAAGAATAATCCCTACAGAAAAATAGTCATCGTCTAAAAGTAGACATTTCTAGAAACCACTCAGTGTCTTAAAAACAAACTATACTCAGCTGGGTGGTGGTGCACGCCTTTAATCCCAGCACTTGGAGGCAGAGGCTGGTGGATCTCTGACTTCAAGGCCAGCCTGGTCTACAGAGTGAGTTCCAGGACAGCCAGCCAGGGCTACACAGAGAAACCCTGTCTCAGGAAAAAGGAGGGAAGGAGGGAGAGAGGGAGGGACAGATGGAGGAAGGAAGGACAGAAGGGAAAGAAAAATTAATCAATCTTACTCATAAACTAAAAAGACAAATGTAGACATTAAGAATAAGCCTGACTACAGTGTGCAAGCACATGCACAAGGAAACTGACATGCCAACAGATCACTGGCAGAAGTGAAATCACTCATGCAAAGCCTTTTTCTTATGTGCCCCAGGCAAGAAGCAGCTTTGGGCAGGAGGCCAGGCATCAAGGTAGAAGAACACATGACTGCTATCTGCTCTGCCCTGAGTGATAGAAGACCACCACCACCACTGTCTCTCTTTGCCATTGTCAGGGGTTACACGCAAAACCTTTTTATATTTCTGCATATGGAAAAATGGCATAAACAAAATAATTATTCATCGTAACATTTTTAAAGGGTATGGAATAAAATACATAAAATGCTTCCATTATAAAAATTTTAAATTCATATTTATATTTCTTATATGCACATATAACTCTGAATGACATAGAAAACTAGTAACAGCAGAGGTTACTAAGAAATAAAGCAGATAGGGATTAAAGCAAAAGGGAAAAAAAAAGAGTATGTTACTTTTTATTTCCAATCATGTGTACATTTTTTTAAGTGTGAATGTAGTGTGTGTTTGTGTATGATTCTGTGTGGAGGCTAGAGGTTGGCTTCAGGTGTTGCCTTCATCTGCTGTCCACTTTACTTACTTAGGCAGAACCTATCATGTTGCTCAGAGCTCACTGACTCCACCGGTTTAGCTAACCAGCATGCCCTTCGGCATTCCCTCTCACATCCTGAACTCTGGGGTTACAGGCAGGTCACTCTGCCCGTCCAGCTTTTACGTGGGCACTGGCGATCTAAGCTCCAGTCCCCATGCTTACAGGGCAAGCGTTTTATCCACTGGACCATCTCCCCAGCCCTACCTTTTCAATTAAACACATTTTACAAGTAAAATAATTTCTTACAAATCTTGGTGGAGGAACAGCCAGGTTCAAGCTACTCAGTGAAACTTCTAGTCCATTCTGGGCACAAGCCACAAGCCGTAGTGCAACGAAGAATTCCTGACAGAGAAAAGCATAAATGTTAGAAGCTTTTTTCCCCAATCGACCTTCTTCTAAACTTACTTTATGATCTGAAAATATAATTCACAGTTATTCCACAGAATTATACAGCAACAAATATAACAGTACATTTGCTTCAAAAACATTTGCTTTAAAATTGAGAAAAAAATGCATAAAGATTTTCCTAACATTATTATTTAAAAAGGTAATTTAAATAAACTATGGTACATAAAAGTAAAAACAGAATATTTATACTTTATTTTTTTAATTTTTATTTTTTTATATTAATTACAGTTTATTTACCCTGTATCCCAACTGTAGCCCCCCTCATTCCCTCCCAATCCCACCCTCCCTCTCTCATCTCCTCCCTGCCCTCTCTAAGTCCACTGATAGGGGCAGTCCTCCTCCCCTTCCATCTGACCCTAGCCTATCAGGTCTCATCAGGACTGGCTGCCATGTCCTCCTCTGTGGCCTAACAAGGCTGCTCCTCCCTGGGAGGGGGGGGGGAAAGTGAGGAGGTCAAAGGACCAGCCATTGAGTTCATGTCAAGAGATAGTCCCTGTTCCCCTTACTAGGGAATTAATCCACTTGGATACTGAGCTGCCATGGGCTGTGTCTGAGCAGGATTCTAGGTTATCCCCATGTATCATCCTTGGTTGGAGAACCAGTCTCAGAAAAGACTCCTGTGCCCAGATATATTTAGTCCTGTGGAGCTCCTGTCTCTCCAGGTCTTACTCACTCCCCCTTCTTTTATACGACTCCCTGCACTCTGCCCAAGGTTTGGTTATGAGTCTCAGCATCTGCTTTGCTGGTGGGAATGTAAACTTGTCCAACCACTCTGGAAATCTATCTGGCGCTTTCTCAGACAATTAGGAATAGTGCTTCCTCAAGATCCAGCAATACCACTGCTAGGCATATATCCAAAAGATGCTCAAGTGCACAACAAGGACATTTGTTCAACCATGTTGGTAGCAGCTTTATTCATAACAGCCAGAACCTGGAAACAACCCAGAGGTCCCTCAACTGAGGGATGGATACAGAAATTGTGGTACATTGGAATACTACTCTTCAATTAAAAACAAGGAAATCATGAAATTTGCAGGCAAATGGTGGGATCTAGAAAAGATCATCCTGGGTGAGGTATCCCAGAAGCAGAAAGACACACACAGTATATATCACTTATAAGTGGTTACTAGACCTAAAAGATAGGATAAAAATACTAAAATCTCTATACCCCAAAAAGCTAAACAAGAACGAGGACCCGTAGCAAGATGATCAATCCTCACTTAGAAAGACAAATGGGAGGGACATTGGAAGTAGAAGAAAACAAGATACAGGACAGGAGCCTACCATAGAGGACCTCTGAAAGACTCTACCTAGCAGTGTATCAAAGCAGATGCCAAGACTCATATTTACACTTTAAGAAATATTCAGTCTCACTAGAAAGTGCTGGTATTAACTGAGGGGCATTTGGGTGGGGAGCCTAACATGAGGGAACAAGTAGCTGTTGTCAAAAGTCATCTCTGGAATGGGAGAATTTTGAAGCTGGATCAGTGGGCCAAGAGTCAATCCCTGCTCTTCCAGAAGAGCTACGGAAAACAACTGGGCAGCATCTAAAATAACCTAAACTGCTTGACCAAAGGCCTCAATTCGAGAGTATTAAGTTAAGAACTGTGAAAAGGAGGAATTTGTTGGCAGCTGTTCTGAGTTAGACAGGGTTGAAACAGCAAGGTTTATACCCCACTTTCCACGCTAGGGCTGCTGCAGACACCGCTCTCACCATTTCCAGCCTCCCTCATTCTCACCTAGCCCTTCTTAGCTATTCCTAACCTTTTCTGACCTGGCAGCCATCTGCCCAGTTCAATACTTGCCTCTTGAAGGTTTTCAAGAGCCTCTCCTTGGGATTGGAAATGTAACTTGGTGGTAGAGTACTTGTCTCACACACATGAGAGACCCTTGGTTGTAGCTTTAGCAAAACTCTCTCTCTTTCTCTGTGTGTGACTCACTCACTCTTTCTCTCTCTCTCTTTCTGTCTTGCTCCATCTCACACTCTCCCTTTTTTCTAATTTACCTAAGAAGTTTCTGTGTAATTAGACTTCAGCTCTCACAGCTGAGAAACTACTTTCTAAATCACAAATAACCTCCTAGCTTCTTCATCCTCCTCACTGTCTTCGTAGCTCAGGCAAAGAAAAATGCTTCAAAGTTCTTCTCATGTACGTGGCATCATGAAGCATTCCTACTTCTCTGACTTCCCATGCCTCTTCTGTCGACGTTCTGTTTGTGCCACCAAGCTTTCAGTGCTGGGATTCTTCAACTACTTGGAAAGAATCAGATCCCTTTCCACAGTGCGGATGAGCTCTTTAGTGAAGTAATTCTCCAGTAAGTTCTAGCTCTGCGACTTAAAGCTGCAATGTCATGAGCAAATTAAATGAAAATTGTTCCCTAAAAGGAGGACAACCTAATACTATCTACTCTGCAATGTATTTGGAGTAATGAAATAATTCTATTCTGTAGGAAGAAAGCACCAAGTGTCATTTCTGTCATACAAATTCAATCCTGGGTGCTTTTCTTTTTTTCAGAAGATAATCCAAACAGTATTGTCTTTGGGCTGGGGAGATGGCTCTGTGGATAGTGCTTGCCCTCTAAGCATGAGGACTGAAGTTCCGGTCTCTAGAACACACATAAAGCTTCATGCAGCAGTGCTCACGTAATCCCAGCATGCTACGGATAGCTGAGCGGTGGGGAAGGAGCCTGTACAAGCTTACGGCCAGCTAGCCTGGCATATGCAGCAGAAACGACAAAGAAACCCTGCCTCTATCAAGGTTGAGTAAAGACTGACACTTGACCTCTCAGGGCATACAGGGCTCTGTACTCAGACATACACATGAACATGCACACACAAATACATAGTAAACAAACACTTAAAAATAGGCCATTGCTCTCGTTTTCGTCTTATATGCCCACACACATACACCAAGCCCACACACTAAGGCGTGGATGGTGTTAACTCTAGGAGGCAGGGCCTACATAGGTCCCTGAGGGTGAGCCCTTGAAGAAAAAATTGGGACCCTGGCCCTTTCTGCTCTTTGTCCTTCTCAGCAGCAGTGAGGTGAGCAAGTTTTCTTTCACACGGCTTTGCTGTTCTGCTTCAGCACAGACCCAGAAACAACGCAGCCAAAAGACTATAGGATGGAACTTCTGTAACCATGAGAAAACATAAATCTTTCTTCAAAAGCCAAAACAAAACACTGTGCCTTCAATGTAAACTCAAACTTCAACAGCAGACCCATGTGCCTAGCAACCTGGGTGTAACAAAGACAACTCAAATTCACCCCATGTGCAGGACTACCAGCAAAGAAGTATTATATCATCAACTCCTAAGGAGAATTACAACAGTGTCACCTCTGCACTTATAAAACCTGGCTCTCACCGCAACAAATATTTGCTGTACCTGAGCACCCCTATGTCCTCGATGCCTTGAACTGGCCCTTCTAGTCCAATGAGGACTACCATACTCTGATCCTGAAACTCTTGACTAAGAGAATGGGTGTTCTTGAGGCTAGAGAGATGACTTAGCCATTGAGAGCATTTGCTGCTCTTCCAGAGGACATGGGTTCGATTCCTAGCACCCACATGGTAGTTCACAGCTCTAATTCCAGTCCTAGGGGATCCAATGGCCTCTTCTGACCCTTGAAGGCACCCGGCAGGCATGTGGTACAAGAACATCCGCACCATGCAGGTGAAACATCCACATGCATGAAGTCATTTTCACATAAAAGAGGCTGGGCATTTTAACTGTCATCTAATTATTATTCTCCTCCTCCTCCTGGTTTGACCTTGTTTTAGCTATGCTCATAGGGAACATGAGCTTTCCACAGTGAGTGCTAAGCAAGATTATCAGGACAAAGCAAACTTTCAACAAGTCAAACATATGCATGGTATTCCACACCTTTGGCTATGACTACTTTCATATATTTATAGGTTAGAGTGTACTTTAAGCTTGTAAACCACTTTTTGGTTTATAGATAAGAAATAAAACCTACACAAGTATTCAGGTTGGATTAGCCCAAAGACTCCTTTCAAAGGTGTGAGCTTATCAACAGTAACACTTACTTATAAAGCCAATGTTTACTTATGAGCTTGTATACTCAAGACATTTAATTAATAAAATTAAAATTTTATAAATGTATAAAATTTTATTAATTTAATTAATTAATACGACGAGCAAAGTCTTTCTGTAGGAGATATATGCTTCAAAAAACAGTATGTCACCAAACTTCAGCAATCAGATAGCTAAATGTTCAGTCCTTAGAAATGCTTTCAATGGAGCCGGGCACGGTGGCACACACCTTTAACCCCAGTACACAGAAGGCAGAGGCAGGCAGATCTCTTGAGTTCAAGGCCAGCCTGGTTTACAAAGTGAATCCAGACAAACAGGGCTACACAGAGAAATCTTGTCATGAAAAACCAAGATACACACACACACACACACACACAGAGAGAGAGAGAGAGAGAGAGAGAGAGAGAGAGAGATGCTTTCAGGAACCCATGGTCTTGAAAAACTAATTTTGAGCTTTAAAAAAATCTGCTAATTTTTATTTCAAATTAGCCAAAAAGTAATTCAAACAAATCTCTCAATCTTACTTGTTTGTTCAGGACACCTTTGCCATCTGTGTCGGCTAAATCCCAAATCTGAAATTTAGGGGAGGAAGAAGAATCAATCTCTCCATATATTTTAACAAAAGTCATTTAGAAGATAAATTAAATCCCTGTAATTTATAACTTCATGTCTATGTAAACAGATCTAAGAACCATTAGAGATCATTCAGTGCAACTCTTTCACAGAGGCATGAAGGCCCAGGTTAGGAGATCTGGCGTAAGAACGTTAAAGGAATGAGGGAAAATTAAACCCAAGTTCCAAGTTCTAGCCAAATGCCCTTTCACTAGCCCAGGGTTTAACTCTGAGTCAAGTGTTATCTCCTGAAACATACTACCCTAATTTGCATTCTTACTAAGATGGATTTTTTTTCCCTATGGAAGGTTAATGTTTATCTGTAAATTATAACCTTATTAGTATTGAATATTCTTCAAAAATGTTATTATGTATCAATATACTATACAACAGTTTGGCAAGAGAGGGGCTTTTCACCTCTGTTCTTTCCAACCTCTCACTCCACTTTGCACACTAAACAGAGGCAGCTTTATAAAAGCAGCAAGCATAGGTCCAATTGTTCGAGTGGGTAACAAGGTTCCTACTCAGTGCTGTATCTCCCCACAATATTCAAATGGACAATTACTTTCTCATTTCATCCTAGTCAAAAGTAATGTTTCTCAAGTGCTCAACATTACCTTAATTTTCAAAAGAATAAATTACTACACCATGACACCCCATCCTGTTACTATAATTGCTTCTATGACTCAGTTCTAACTTACATCTTTCTTGACTGTAGCCTTCTGAATTTATTTGCAGTTCCACTACGCTTCTACATATTCATTATAGTCTAGTTATAATAAACACATACTACCTTTCCGAGAATCAAGTCTGGAAGCCCCGATTTTTTCAGGAACACAGCCGCATCTGAAGCCAACACCCTTCCAGTATTGCCCGTATCAACCTGAAAAGATAGAAACAGGAAGCCAACACTAAAACACAAAATCAAAATTACCATCACTTCTCTGTGTCCCCTCCCTACCTTAGAAACTGGAACCAGAATCCTGCTAACAAGGGCAAGGACCCTTCAGAGCCTTGTCAGAATGGTACCATCTAGAGAGGAGTCAATTTGCAAAATACGTGTCTATTAAGTCTAGTATACAAGTAAAATTCAAGCTCAGGAAAAGTGAATGAGTAGAGTCAGACACGAGCACGGATCCTCTAACTCCACATTTTTTATGACTGTCATTTAAATGCCAATATAAGAACCAAGTACTTCCTGGAGGTCCTCTGACAAACTAGAATGGCTGTGTATGTTATCTAACTCTGTAAATGTTTTAAATCAAGTGCTTTTATATCCACTCTTAGAAACTGTAATACTTAAAAGAATCAAGGTAGTATTAGCTCTAAACCCAGCAGCAAGTCATAACAACCATTAAAAGATTGTTTAGTTTTACAGTACGCCAAGAGAAACACATCATTTTCACTGATGGGGAATTTCCGTTACGACAGAATGAGGTCACAACAAACAAGAGAGGAAAAACCCTCATTTTTGTAAAGACTTCCTAAATTTCTATTTGTAAATATGAATAGTAAATCTTAACAGGTCGTGGGAAAGGAAATATTATACTAGGATATTCATAAACTAGCTGTGTTTCTAGTTTAAAGACTTTTACTGTAAACACTCAAAGTATTCTACACAGCCCAGTAGCAGCATAGCAACAAAACAAACAAACAAAAAAGCTTTCAAAGGCTGATTCCTGCAAACGGCTCTTGGCTATAAACTACACTCTAGAATCGATGTCTTCCAGTGGGTTTCATAGCCTCACAAAAGATTTTGCATTTCAACACTTAAAAGAATACAGACTTCTGTGCATGTATGAAGCCTTGTGTTCAATTCTCAGTCTACTAAAAGAAAAATACAAAGCAGACACTATACATGTCTTTCTAAAAATTACTTTGTGTGTGTGTAGTGTTTTGCCTGCACATTCAACTATCTGTGTACCACATATATGTGCAGTGCCAACATAGGCTAGAAGAGGGTACTGGATCCCCTGGAGCTGGAGTTATAGATGGTGTTGAGCCACCGTGTGAGTGCTGGGAATTGAACCAGGTCCTCTGGAAAAGCAGCCGGTGTTCCTACCTACTGGGCATCTCTCTAGTCCCAGCTCAAGCGTCTTTAATCCCAATACTTGGGAAGAGGTAAGAGGACTGGGAAGTCAAGGCACACTTCCATTACACAGCAAGTTTCAAGGCCAGTCTGGGCCGCATAAAATTCTGTCTCAATAGCCAGGCATGGTGGTTGTGGACCCCTTTAATCCCAGCATTCCACAGGCAGGGCAGAAGCAGACAGATCTCTGAATTCAAGGCCAACCTGAACTACAGACTGAGTTTCAGAACAGCCAGCCAGGGCTACACAGAGAAACCTTGTCTCAAAACAAACAAACAAAAAAGATCCCATCTAAAAAAAGGGAGAAAAGTACTCCCATACAGAACTTTTAGACTATACTAGTAAACTGAATTAGGCCTCTGGCCTCTCTTTAGCCTGGAAGCTGATCTACTGTACCAAAGCAAACTCCTGACATAAGACAAGCTGAAAAAGAATTACACAGGAGTGAACAAATTGTTTACAGTTTAGTGGTGCTTATTATTTGGAATGCTATTGGAATTTTGTGGTTTTGGGCATCAGAGTTGAGCTTAAGGTTTCCCCTATGTAGACACTCGACCATGATGAGCACACACTGGGCTGTGTTACCCAGCCCTCTGCTGGTACTGTTTTATTTATTTTTTAAAAGACAAGGTCTTACTCTGTTGTAGGCCAGCTCTGCACTACCTGATTCAAGTGATCCTCCTGCCTCGCCTTATATTTTTCTTTCTTCATTTCCCTTCTTTTTCTGTTGTTTTGACGGCTGGGGGGTCTTTTAAAATATTTTTAAAATTATTTCTGTGTGTGTGTGATGAGGACGGGGGCACGGCCTGTGTAGGGGCCTGAGGATAACTGTTGAGAGTCTATTCTTTCCTCGTACCACGCACTGAGGAGCAAGCTCGGGGCACCAGGACTGGACAGCAGACACCTTTACCTGAGCAGTCGTCTCACAAGGCCTCTCCCTATTCTTTCTCATCTTTTTGTTTTGTCTTTGGTTTTTGCTCCAAGAGTCAAGGCTTCTATGTGGCCCAGGCTGACCTTATACTCTCGAGACCCTCCCACCCCCATCTCCACTTCCCAAGTGCTGGAATCAGAGGCACACCACAATGCCCAACTCTTTTTTTTACAGACAGTCTCTTCTGTAACCCAGGCTAGCCTCAAACTCATGACATTTTTCTTAGCCTCTTGAGTGTCAGATTACAGACACCATGTGTCACCACCTGCCTGTCATGGTTTAGGTCCCAGTTTCCTTCCTTTTACTGAGACAGGGTTTCATGTATGTAGCCCAGCCTGCATCAAACTCCAATGTAACTGCAGATGCCCTGATCCTGCCTCGGCCTCCCAAGTTCTAGGATCAAAGGCATGTGGTACACCTCCTAGGGAAACCTCAGGAATCACCCCCCCCCCAGGACAGAACTTGGGACAGCTTGTTCAGAGCATACTAAATAAGCAGTCTACCAGTACGGTACATCCTCAGCTCAAAATGTGTGAAAAAATGACTTTTCTTTCCTTCTTAGGCTATTTCAAGTAGGAGCCACTTTAGTAAACCAAATAAAACACTTTCCAATAGGACCTGATTTCTTTGATCTATCATATACCAAAACGATAACAATATAATCACAGAGTCAACAATTTCTTTGCCTTTTTAAAGGGTGTAATGTGATTAACCAAATATATAACACAAGGCCATATTTAGGAACACTTCTCTTTCATTCTGAAAAAGCTATCTGTAAATAATAGTGACACTCCTAGAAAAAGTGGGCATGGGTTGGGGAAACAAGATGGCTCTGTCAGCCTCAGGACAGTTCAGATACCCCAATTCTGATGCCCTGAAGGCTTTAAAGCATAACTGAGGACCTGGGTTTGAATCCCAGAACTCAAGTAAAAGCCTGGGTGTGGTAGTGAACTACAATTCCAGCAAGGGTGAAGTGGGGTTCAGAAACGGGTGGATCCCAGGAGCTCAATGGCCACTTAGCTTAGCCTGTTTGGTCAAAGACTCAGCAAAAGAGACCTTGTCTCAAACAAAAGATGGAGGGCACCCGAGTAAGGATACTTCTTTAACCTCCACATTCACACACATATGTACATAGCACATACAAGGAAAGAAAACTGGCCTACTATCTGGTTTTATAAAGTCCCACCATCACAAGTAGTAAGAGAAGGGCTTTATCTAAAAACTTTAGCACATCTGGGGAAAACTCAATTCTAATTCCCATGTACAACTCGGAAATATGGTGGAAAGAATTTCTAAGGTTTAGATCCTAACCTAAAGCCAAAAGAACAGGTAAGAAAAGTTTAAAAGTTCAATCAATAACCAGCCATGAAGCTAGGAATGACAGCAAGAACCTGTAATCCTAACACTTCAGAGGTCGAGGTAGGAGGAGCCACAGTTCAAGGCCAGCCTCTGCTACACAGCAAATCTGAGGCTAGATTGGGCTGGAATGATACCTTGTCCTCACCCCATCTGAAAAAGATTACAGGCATGACGGTATATACCTGCAGTCCCAGCAATGGGGGGGGCCCAGAAAGGATGGTAACCTAGGAAAATCTTAAGCTCTTGGTCCTCTTGCTTCCTCCATTAAGTGCTAGGATTAACAAATTATCACCACATCTGGTTTTTGTATTCTAAACTTTATAGCTGAATGTTTCCCTGAGTAATTAACTATCAACGTCCTTGATACACGTTTTGTTTGATTTGTTCTGCAGCACTGGGAATTAAACCGAGGGCTCTGTGTGTGCTGAGCATGTCATCTCAAAGAGCTCCACCCTCAGCCCCGCGCTCAATCAGTGTGTGTGACAGCCATGTTCCCTGTCTTCACCTCACACCCCATAACCTCAGCACTAGAGGCAGGAGGGCTGTGACAAGGCAGACTACACTCCAAGCCAGCCAGACAACAGAGCAAGGTCTTACCAAACCACCAAACAAACCACACAGAACAGCCATTTCTATTTGGCTTACACATTAATGTGGATACTTATATCTGGATGAATATATCTAATGTTCTATTGATTTTTTTAACATAGATATTTAAGGTAATTAAATTCTCTTTCTTTTTTCTGAGAGCTAATACCTAGTATTTGGTGTATGCCTGTAATCTCAGCACCCTAGAGATTAAGGTAGGGTTATTTACTAAAAGGCCAACAGAGAGCACCTAGCAGGACCCTCTCAAAAACAAACAAAAACAGTATCAAGTACTCAGAGTCAGAGGCTGAGGCCCAAAAAGCTGAAAGCACGACACATCAACGCTCTCTAATGACTGCTCATCTACACGCACATAATCCACAATGGATAGCATATTCTGTGTTCAATTCAGAATATAAATATAATAAAATCTTACCTGTCTATAGTACTTTTCATATACAGGATTCCCACTTGACAACTAAAATAAACAATAAATAGTAATTATATTTTATTCAATAACTCCTTATGATACATTTGGTATTCATTCAAAAGATGTTTGAGAAACAAAGACAAAAAGATAAAAACATTATTCATTTCAGAAAGATTGGGATTTTGGGGGGTTTTGGGTTTGGTTTTTTTGGGTTTTTTTTTCCATTCTTCTTTTTTGGAGACAAGGAGGAGAATGAATAAACCGTCATAGGGTAACAAAGAATCAGAAAAACAAGAATCTAAGGTTTTTGTTCATGCATAATTCTACCCAGAAGCCTAACACATAAGGAAAGTGGGTTTAAAGCTCTCTTCAAAATGTCTATCCTCCACCCGAGTACCCAAGGCATTAAAATAAATTCAGAATCTACAATAAAGGAATCGGCAGTGGGCTGAGGGATGCAGTATGGTACGAAAGCACTTGCCTAGCATATAATAAGGCGTACTTATGAGCACAGCACCACAACAAACAGCCTGGGGTGCTGATGATGATCTGATGTCACCAGAGCTGAATTGCTTATATGCAGGCAGTGCCACTCACTTCACAGCCCAGTTCAAAGGGCTCCTTGTCCAGCTGATGAACATCTGAAAGGCTCATCGGAAAGGCAGCCCAAGAGGGCCAATGCAAAAGCTCAGGTTTGCCTGTACAGGAATGTGGAACAATGTTCTGGACAAAGAAGGGCATCTAAGAAGAATTAAGGAGTGACAGGAAAGCAAGAACACAAAATTATGAAAGGAAGAAATGGGGTGACTGTACTTAGAGGTAACATATGTGCAGGCAATTAACAACCACATCTGTACAAAACCGGAGGAAGTATGGACATGATGGTGCATGCCTGTGTACCCAGTTGATGCTGGTCTGACATATAAGCACACGCACGCACGCACGCACGCACACACAAAGGGGGAAAAAAGAAGTTATGAACAAGAGATAACAGTGTAACATTTTGTAAAAGTCAATTTATAAAGGGCACCATCCATCTGCTATAGTAGACACTATACATGAAAGTAGTAAGGATAAAAGGGAGACAAATTCAAAAGTGATAGTATATGTGTGTGTTTGTGTATGTGCATGTGAGAGAGACAGAGAGAGAGAGCTGACAGTACTTACTAAGAGGTGAGAGAGAAGAGGAGCATGGGTAGAAATACCCATATACACAGTATGGAATATATACTGTATATAAATCAATATATACTCAAAGATATAGTATGTGTATACCAAGCCTGTACACATATCCTGAGGTTTAGTTCTTTGGGACAGTTCTTTCTCTGTTTAGCAGCTCTGGCCGACCCGGAATTTGCTTTGTAGACCAGGTTGGCCTCAAACTCACAGAGATCCACCTGCCTCTGCTTCCCGAGCACTGGGATTAAAGGCGTGTGCCACCAGTTTCAGAGTTCACTTGCCAGAGAATCAGGATACAAACTGCAAATACCACCGTGTCCCTGAACATGCCCAGAGGTTGCCCAGGACAATCTTGATTCACAGTCTGTTGTCCTAGCAGTCACGCAAGTCATTGCTATTGTCTCAGATTTCTCATTTTACAAAAATCAACTACTGAGCATCTTACCCAGGGTCCTCCTTCTAGCTCAGCTTCTTTAGGTGTACAGATTTTAGTATGTTTATCCTATACTGTATGGCTAATATCCACCTATGAGTGAGTATATGTGTGTCTTTCTGCTTCTAGGATACCTCAATCAGGATGATCTTTTCTAGTTCCCACTATTTGCCTGCAAATTTCATGATTTCCTTGTTTTTAATTGCTGAGTAGTATTTCATTGTATAAATGTACCACAATTTCTGTATCCATTCCTCCAGTGAGGGACCTCTGGGTTGTTTCCAGGTTCTGGCTATTACGAATAAAGTTGCTACGAACATGGTTGAGCAAATGTCCTTGTACCCTTGAGCATCTTTTGGGTATATGCCTAGCAGTGGTATAGCTGGATCTTGAGGAAGCACTATTCCTAATTGTCTGAGAAAGCACCAGATTGATTTCCAAAGTGGTTGTAACAAGTTTACATTCCCACTAGCAATGAAGCAGGGTTCCACCTTCTCCATATCCTCTTCAGCATGTGTTGTCACTTGAGTTTTGATTTTAGCCACTCTGATAGGTGTAAGGTGAAATCTCAGAGTCGTTTTGATTTGCACTTCCCTGATGGCTAAGGATGTTGCTCACTCCTCACTCAGAAAGGAAAACGGGATGGACATCAGAAGAGGGAGAAAACAGGAAACAGGACAGGAGCCTACCACAGAGGGCCTCTGAAAAACTTTACCAGCAAGGTATCTGAGCAGATGCTGAGACTCATAGCCAAACTCTGGACAGAGTGCAGGGAATCTTATGAAAGAAGGGAGAGATAGAAAGACCTGGAGAGGACAAGAACTCCACAAGGAGAGCAACAGAACAAAAAAATCTGGGCCCAGGGGTCTTTTCTGAGAATGATACTCCAACCAAGTACCATGCATGGCGATAACCTAGAACCTTTGCACAGATGTAGTCCATGGCAGATCAGGCTCCAAGTGCAGCCCAGGATGGCCTTTGTACACCTTCACTGTATACTAACTCCTAGGCATGGTATATGCTTGTTGGAGGCAGGTACACCTGTGTTTTCAAGTGCAGAGTTCAGTGCCTTGAGATCTGGTTACCACTCTGGGCACTGTTATGAATATTGATCTACCTCCTGTACTCACGTGATGATAGGAAATGTTCCCCAATTGTCCCTAGTTGGCTGATTAAAAGGCCTACACATGGGCAGGGCAGAAGTGAGGGGTGGAGCTAAGACTGGTGAGTTTTGGGAAGAGAAGGATCACAGGCAAGGAGACAAGTACCACAGAAGGAAGGAGGCAGGGGCCACAAAGGGTTAGCATGGAGAGGAGCATGTGGCCAGACCAGCATGGGTGGAAAAGCAGCCTAGATGAAGAACATTAGCAAGTGTTTTGGGATTATGGATGGGAAGTAGCCCAGATAGGAATTATTAGAGCAGATGGTGTGGGATGGTAAAGGTAAATGAGATGTAGATGAGAGGTAAAGGAAGCTTAAGAAGAAATATCTGCCTTGTCCCGGGTGAAAGAAGGTTATTCTACAATCTATCAGGTGTCTGTGCCTTTAACGATTATAACAGCATGTTAGGTAATACTGCCGTGTTAATTATAGCACTAATAAACTTTATTAGACCTACTTCTATATTATCAACAACATATGCTAGTAGGGCTTAAGTATTTTAACAACTTAAATAACTCATTTGAAAGATGTTGTCAATTCCATTTTGCTGTCCAGATTCTTTATAGATTGAGCAGAATATCTTCCTTTCAAGGAAAACCAGCAGAGACGACGAGATGGCTCATCAGGCAAAGAAACTTGCTGCCAAGCCTGACGCCCTGAGCTTGATCCCCAGGATTCACATGGAGGAAGAGAGCTGACTTCCACAAGTTGTCCTCTGACCCCCACATATAAGCCAGTATGTGCCCCCATCAATATATAAATTATTTTAAAATTTGTAAAAAGAAAACCAGCTAGAGACTCATTTAAAAATATATCCTCAGACACAAGAAACATGGATAACTTCTTCCTTAACTTCTTGTAAAATAGAAGAATTTGCCAGTGGTGCTCTTCGCCATTTGTGGAGAATGCAGCGAGAGAAGCAGAGGATGCCTGACACACTCAAGGCACCTGCCTCCCAGCTAGCTAGCTCAGTGGAAAACAGCTTAAGAACAAATCAACAGTCTAAGAAGTCATATGAAAGCATGGCAGTTTATTCTTTGTATGGTTGTGATTACCTGTTCTGCTGTTGGGTACCCTTTTTTAAGATTTATTTATTTATTATATACACAATGTTCTGTCTGCATGTACACCTGCTTGCCAGAAAATGGTATCCAATCTCACTATAGATGGCTGTGAGCCACCATGTGGTTGCTGGGAATTGAACTCAGGACCTCTGGAAGAGCAGCCACTGCTCTTAACCTCTGAGCTAGCTCTCCAGCCCTGGGTACCCTTTTTTAATTACCGAATACAAGCAGGCCCTTTAGGAGCAATGAGTTAAAAAAAGAAAAAATGGTGTTAGCACAGAACTAAGCACTTCATTTTCATTTCTCCAGAAAGCGGATAAGCAGATAACTTGCAGGAAACCTTCAAGGATTCTTACTATGAAAATTTCAGTGTCACAGCTAATGAACTAGCTGAAAATGTCAACATTCACTGATGCTTTTATATGTAACAGTCGAAATTTTATGGATGAAGCTAATATTGAATACGGGGAAGTACTTCAACATGGCAATATAAAGGGCTATCAGATTTTAGTAGCTAGAATCTTTATAAAAATAAAAATTTTAAAAATGTTAAAGCTGCCTTATAAATCTAGCCTAAGTGTCTTAGTGGTAAATCTTTTTAAAACTAAGTCCTCCAAAAGTTGGCTGTGTACCGTACAAAATCAGCTGAAATCCTTAATCAAGGATTAAAGTTCAGTGAAAAGAACCCCGAGACTCTCTAAGAAAAAAAAAGTTTCTCAAAAATAAATAAATAAATAAATAAATAAATTCTGAGCTCCAAACTGTACCTTATTCATCATTACAATACAGATTCACTAGTTAGTGTAAAAACCTCTAAGAAGATGGAGTTTACTAAGGTGATTAAAGTACTCCCTTCACTAAAGTGGCACAGCTAAGTGAGAACGGAAAAGGACATCCACACTGTCAAAGCACTCATTAAGCAAGAATGTTTATGTACCTCAATAAAACCAGCTCTTGTCATTGTTGCTAGACTATAAATGTTTAAACACACACACACACACCATGAACACAGTGAAAATATCTGAAATGACTAAAGTGATCTCAGATTAGTTCTGCAAAATAGGATTATGAATATTTTTTTTTTTACATTCTCAATTTTTTACATTCTTATACTCTCTGAAGATCCCTTAGGACAGAATACTTATACAGTGAGAATGAAACTAGCTTTCGATTAGGAAAAATAAAAATATATCTAAAACTGTAGTTGTACA